CAAGGTAGCCAGGATAAAAGAAAGTGGACATCAGCTGTGGCGAAGAGTACAAAAGTATAACAAAAACTAATAAAACAGAGACAAGCCAAGATCAAGCACTTCAAGCATTCCATGTTCAACCCATGCATTTTTCCCCTCAATCTATCAAAAACCTAAGCACCTTACAAGTGCAGGTATCAGCCTGTGTCCACCTCACCTGCCTAATTCAGAGCTCACTGCAGGGTGATGGTCCCATCTAAAATTATTCATCATTACACTAAGAACTACATTTTCCTCTTCTCTAATCAAAAGGGTTTAATTTCAACAGTCCTGGTGCACATTGTGCTGGACCACTTATTAAAGAATTTGCTTCTGTACAAAAAAAGTGACTGTTACAAATTCAGCTTTCCTGAAGAAAAATCTCAGTCCTGCTGCTGTGGAATGACTCTTGGGAGCAACAACTCTCACAAAATCCAAGTGACACCTTGCACCTGTGGAAAACCTGACAGAGCACATCTGGGAAATGTGAATCTACACCATGAAGTGATAAAGGTATGGACTTAATAATATCTGACCTTTTCCTAAAACATATGTTCCTACTTCTGCTGCCAAAGTCACCGATTTAGTTTTCTTCAAAACTCTTTTCTATCTCCCCACCCAGCCAGGGCCTGGCTGAAGCTGCCTCTCCCTCCTTGGTCTTCCCAAGAAGGAGTTAATTGGATTGAGTGGCTGCTGCTGCACTCTCTCACAGAGCCCGGCAGCTGGCTCCAGCACTGGAGACCCGAGTCCAGTTTTCAGGGGAAGATATAGGCAAGCCAGAATTATGGGCTGGCAAGCTGAACTGCTCGGAAAAAAGCACACAACTGAAGGCTGAGAGCTCAAAACAGGAGCCAAGGAAGCTGTCCACATTCTAGGCACACACCACCAGCGTGGTGGGAGGAAACAGGCAGCCAGTCCACCTGGAAAATCTGATGGTGTGAAAGGTCTGCAAGTGGATTCAGCCAGTGAAAAATAGTGGGAGAGCGGTAAAAGGGGAAAAACCCAGAAGAATAAAAGACTTCATCCTTGAAGTAGTTTTCAGCATGTCTGGATGCAAAGAATGATATGGAAAGTATCATTTAATTTATGTAATTAAAACCAAAGTTATAAAAGGCACACTGAGATGAAAGCAGCCAGGTTTTCCAGACTGTGGATTAAGTTAACTCAGTTCCAGAGTTTGGTTCTGTACATTACCAACTCTGCACACAGTCTGGGTCCAGCATTTCCTTTAAACCAGATTTATTACCACAAATACAAAGCACAGTAAAATAAAACAATTAAAGCTAAAATACTGTTTCAAGTCTTTGTTGCTTGACCAAATATTAATGGTGGTGGTATATGTAATGAAAGCCCTAATCTTGTAACTACTTGCAGCTGTCTCTTTTTATTCAAAGGAACCAGCAAGACTCTTGTCAGTTTGGGAACCACAACTCATACTAAAAGACTTTCATCGTTTCTTACCCAATCCTATTGGAATTCAGTTAACAAGTCTCAGAGAACAAGGCCTATCAAAAATGGAAAAAAGAGAATGAGTGTTTCTGTAAAAATACTGCAGGTTTTTTTTGATCAGAGGAGTTTATAAATGGTACAGTGCTAAGACTATTTAAAAAATCTGAGGCGATGTTAATCAGGCTCTGGAAAAACATCTCCAGCACAACTGAGTATTATTTTACTGCAATTGTAATTGGGTGTGCAACAGGTGACTAATCCATTGAATGATACTAGTTCACTGATTTCAGTAGCATACACAACAGATTCTGCTCAATCCTATGACCACTTTATAAATATAACGCTATAAGCAATCTGCTACAGAGGTGCAGTGAAGGTATGAAGCATTCCTGGCATGTTCCTCCACCTCCCTGCCATGGCAGAACACCATGCAGTGATCTCTTGTGCTCTGATTTATTTCCAAGAAGCATGACCCCTTTTTTTTGTATCTAAGAGCACAAAGATAAAGGCTCAGATTTAGAAAGACAGATGGGTTTCTATCCACAAGTATCAGATACTGACTGATCCCAGCAGAAGGTAAGTAACCAGATACTTCTAAAGAATAGGACCTAAATTTAAACAGGAAATTAGAGACAGTCTCTCAAGTTAGGAGCTAATATTATAAATACTGGGACTCTCCTTAATTAAAAATAAAATTTTAAAAATAATATCAATTGGCCTGTAGCATCTCCAGCAAGGAAGAGCCCTTCAGATGTAACTGGTCACTGAACAGAATCTGGGCAATTTTTCACACGTCCCAAAACATCCAGAGGTAAAAAGCATACAAGGAATGTAACGAATTCTCTCATGGATGAAGTACTAATAAACTCACTGCTGATAAATCTCAGCACCACCAGCATCCTGCAACTATTCCAATGCTGACACCTCACTTCCCTGTCTGAATTATTACAATTGTTGAAAATAAAGTTAATCCAGACAAGCACAAGGAGAAACAAACGCTGGACTCTCACTTGCAGATGATGGAGGGCAGGATTAACTCTTTTCTAACTGAACAAAAAACTTTCTCTAATTAACAAAGCCACTCTTTTTTTTGTTGTTTTGACTGTGTAACTGTTTACAAACCATGCCTAATCCAATATTAACACTCACTTTTATGGTCACAGAATTTGTTTTTTCAACATTTGGCAAGAAAAAAGTAAGTATTAAAGTATATGTGCAGCAGGACCGCAGCACCTCTAACAGCCCCCACTGCCATAGCTCCTAACCACAGACCTCTAGTTCTCAAGTGAAGTCACTGAGCTTTAAAAAAACCCCAAACCAAACAACCAAAAAAACTTCCCCAAGCCCAACATTCTGAAGAAAAACACCCTTATTTTGAAGTCACATGACACAAATTTTTCTGCCACATTTCCTCAATATATGGTAGTAAAGAATGAAAGGAAAATAGAAGAGAAATAAAAATGGAAAACACTGTTAATAATCTGTATTGATGATTAGTCAGAGCTGCATCTTGGAAGTGGTTTTGCAAATGAAGACACTTGCTTAATAGGTGGATATTCAAAATGAACAGGACTAAAAGTTAACACAGGTTTCCACAGTGACTTCACCACAGACAGGACCACACTGCAAAACATGAAACAATTTTTCCCCTATTTCAATCCTGGCACAAAACCAAAAACAAACTGAACTTTCCCAAAATATGAACAGAGTTCTAAGAGGCAATTCTAAGCAGTAACCAGCCATGATACATCTCGGCTCCCAAAAGACCTTCCAGTGTAGTGACATATTTCTAAAATTAACTTTACTTGTACATCAGTGTCTTTTCACACACCTTCAGTTTGAGGGAGTTTTTACTGTTCTGAATACCAAACTAATCTTTTTTTAAATTTACATCTCCACTGTGTGTTTTTTACACATACACACCCAGTGCTTCCTAAGTACAGTAATCATGGCATGGGCTCAAGGATGCACAGTGTCACAGCCAAATTCAACACACAGTGCCTTAGGCATGGGAATGTTCCTTCTCCACAGCTTTCCATTTTACATACATGCAACAATTATATATTGAGTATTAAAAAACTGACTGAAAAAAGTTTAGGACTATATTCTTCAAAATCACCTTGTTCCAGTGATAAATTTGCCTTCCAGCTGTCAAACTTTTTTATCCCATAGAAGCTCTACATGTCAAATGCGTGGCCACAGCTGACAATCTATTTACTTTATGTAATCCAAGAGAAAAAGAAAGAAGTCATAAAATAAAAATACTATTCTTCAGTGAAATGCATCACTTAAAATTCTTATTAAAGTGTGCCAGAATCCAATCAGAATTTACTTTTTTTTTCCAAGAAGTTCCATTCCACCGAGTTTTCCATGTTTTTCAACAATACTAGAAGTGAATACTTGGGAGTCTTAGTTGTGCAGAAGTAGGTGACAAAGAAAATACTGGTTTCAAAAGTCTGTGAATTCACACTTAAATGTAATAAAGTGTTGCTCTTTTGACACAGATTAGTTACACAAGCTGAACACCAAGGGTAATAACTTTTAAAGCACTAAATATGAATAAAAGCTACAAACAGAGCAAGAGGATGCCCATCCCTGAGCAGTGTTCCTCAGGAACAGCTGCCAACACAAGCTACTAACACACTGATGGATGTATCCAGCCGGCCACAAGCCCACAGCTTTTCATACCTATACAGAAAATAGATGTATTTCTCTGCAAAGACTCAAAATATAAAATTAAAAAAAAAAAAAGGTATGCAGAAATTTTTGCACTAGTAACACTTCTAGGATTATATCACTAGACACCTGACAAGTGTTACTCTCCAGCATGACAGTAGTGGGCAACATTCCAGTCAAAATTATGATTAACAGAAAGACACTGTAAAGGATTTTTTCTGACAACCAGAGTTTTCAATAAACAGTTTATAACCCCATGTAAAAACATTTCTTCTGTTGGCTATAGCCAGAAAACTTTCTACACTCACAATTAAAGCATCAGCTTTACTGCTCAAGTGCTATCTACTCTAATTAGGAAGTGTGGAAAATGAAGAGGAAGGAGTTTAAGGGCAGTCCTTTTGCTCAGTGAACAACCCTGTGTGAGCTGCATGCCATCCTTAAACTGCATGTCACGTGCACCAAGACATGGATTAGAACCTTATTAGCCAAGCAAATTTATTCAAAATTTTCTTTATGAGCATGACTTACAGCATGCTTTATGCCTGTCAGTGGAAATCTGGGGAACTATTTACAGTCATCCCATTTTCCAGTAAGTTCTATAATGATGATTCAGCCTGTATAACACTATACATCCTGCAAATACACTGCTCGGACATTCATCTTTGCAGAGTCGAGATCTGCCAGGATCCCAAGACTCCTCTTAACTCACCACATGACCGTGTCACAAACAAGTGAAAGTAATTTACGAAGGTCAATAAAGGGAGAGGGAGAAAAGGATTTTTCATAAGGCAGCACATAAATACAATAAAAACAGACCAGCAAAAAATTATCCCAAGGCAGCGCTTGCCCACACTCACATTTGCATCATGACTTCGTTCAGATACACTCCATCCACCAGCGCCACATATTCCTCCAAGTTGGTCCCATTTCCTCCAGCCAGCGGTCCAAATGTCTTCACCTGGAACAGAACCAGCAGCAGCACCATGACACCAAGTCCACCTCGCTCCCCTGCCACAAGGCTCTTCTCAAACAATGAGCAAATAAAACCAGGAACGTGTGAGGGGAAAATGAACACTTACCCAGGTGACAAGAGGGCTCGACATGAACTGCTCCAGAAGGGGTGTGAAGATCTCGTTCTCCATTTTACAAAAAAATGGTTAACATCAATGCAGCTCCTCTGATGGAAAAAATAAAGATAAGTCCTTCACTGCAGCAGTTCTCTGGAATGCTCCAAGGATTCAGCTGGAGTGAGCAAACCCCATTTTTACCAAGCGATGCAACACCAACAAAAGTCAGTGCACTGGCAAGAGGGATTTATCTTCCTCTTTCAAGAAAAAATGCATTCGAAAGTCCATCTACGCGTATTTCAGCCTTTCCATTGATGCCTCTCCCTTCCTACACAGCGAAGAGGTGGAAGGAAGGAAGGAAAGAAAAGAGGGAGGCTGCCTAGCTACTGGGATTCTGCATCAGACAAAAAAAAAAAAAAAAAAAGAAAAAAAAAAAAAAGAAAAGAAAGGAAGGAAAAATCTGCTTCAACAGCGGCAGCGTCTCAGAAAGGAAGGAGAAATTCCAGCGAAACTCCGAAAGCTCATCCTGCCTCTTCCCCACAAAAAAAGCCGCAAGCCCAGGCGAGGGGAGCAGCGAGGACAGCGACCCCCGCCCCTCTCGCAGCCAAGCCCCCCGGGCTGCGGCTGCACCAGAGCCCCGCTGCCCCTCCGCAATGGCACCGACAGGGAACCGGCCCCCGGAGGGATCGGAGGCTATTTTAAATCAGTTCCCTTTTCTATCCCTTCCCTTTTCCACTGAACTACGACGCCAGAGAGCGGCAGGACCGGCACACGCCGCCCGGCCCCGCAGCCTCGCCCTTCCCCCGCGCTAGCCGCTCCCCTCAGGCTCCGCTCTCCCCTCGCCAATGCTGGAGCGCCCCCCGACCCCTCCCCAGCTGTTCTCCGGCCGCTCCACCACCGCTCCCGCGGCACCAGCTCCGCTCCCCACCCCCGTCCTCCCAAACTGCGGGGCCACCTCGCCTCAGCCAGCGCGGCCGCGCCGCATCGCTCGCCTCGTCCTCCTTCCCTCCCTGCCTGCCTCCCGCTCTCTCTGCCCGGCCGCCAGCTAGCGGACGGATCCCTCCGCCCGGAATCCCTCCGCCGCCGCTCGGGGATGGCGGCGCGATTAGAAAGGGGCGGGGCCGCTGCAAAACCGCTGCAGGACTCGCGCCCGGCGCGCGCGCGCGCTGCGGCTGCGGGCACCGCTCAGGCTTCGGTGTGACGGGGAGCGAGCCTCGTCCCTTTCCCGGTCTGGGACTAAAGGTGCCCCTGAGGGATGATAATGCTCTTCCAATTCCCCTTTCGGGGGAAATAGATGTGCCCGTGAGGGGAAAATTCAACGCGGGAGAGATATTCTCCATTTCCCTTAGGAGAATAAAGGTGCCCGTGAGGCAAAAAGTGTAGGAGGGAAAGATGCTCTTTCATTCTCCTTTGCGGAATAAAGGTGCCCGTGAGGGGATAATTCAGCCCAGAAGAATAAATGTGCCCGTAAGGGGAAAAGCATGGGAGAGAGGGAGAGGCTCTTCCAATCACCTCTTGTGCAAAGAAGATGCCCGTGAGGGGAGAAGGGCGGGAATGAGATGCTCTGCCTTTCCTCTTTGGGGAGGGTACCTGTGAGGGGAAAAGCGTGTGAGGGAGGCAGATACTCTTCCATTCCTCCCCCAGGAAATAAAAGTGCCTGTGAGGGGAAAACTCAGCGCAGAAGGGATATTCTCCATTTCCCTTCCGAGAATAAGAGAGCCTGTAAAGGGAAAAGCACGAGAGTGTGGGAGAGAGGGAGATGCTCTCCCATTGCCCTTTGGGGCAATAGCGCTCGTGAGGGAAGGAAAGAGCACGGAAAGGAGAGGCTCTTCCAATCTCTTGGCGAATGAAGGTGCCCATGAGGGGAGAAGGGCGGAAGGACATGCTCTTCCTTTCCCCTTTGGGGAATCTTGGCACGGGGAAGATATTCTCAATTTCCTTTAGGAGAATAAAGGTGCCCGTGAGGAAAAAAGCACTGGGGGGAGAGAGGGAGGGAGAGGCTTTTCGATTCCCCCTGGGGGGAATAAAGGTGCCCGTAAGGGGAAAACTCAGCACAGGAGGGAGGAAGATTCTCTTGCATTCGCCTTACGTGGAATAAAGATGTCCGTGAGGGAGCATCTCCTTCCACCGGTAGCCGTGAGGGAAAAGCTCAGTGTGGGACAGAGATGACTTTCCAAACGTTTAGGCCTGTTTTCCTTTTTCCATGAGAGGAAAAGCATGGGAGAGAAATATGCTCTTTCATTATCCTTTGGGGAAAAAAGGTGCCCATGAGGGAAAAATTCAGTGCAGGACTGAGATGTTCTTCCATTTTTCTTTTTGAGAATAAAGGTGCCTGTGAGGAGAAAAACTCACACCCTCAGGAAGTGGAATCCAGAAGCAAGACAGATTTTCTCCTCAGAAGGTGGAATCCAGACACACCCATGTTAAGGTAAAATCCAACTTTCTGGAAAGATTTTGTGGGGAATCAGAGGATGACAAGCAGTGTGCTGGCCTGATCATTGTCCCTTCCCTGAGCCTTCTCCTGCTTCTTGTGCTTTCAGTATTCAATCCTGCATTAATATGCATGCATGTATCTGCTTAATACATTATGTGGTTCATTGGCAAGGCATTTTACAAAACCTCAAACTAAATCCAGCTTCTCTTCTGTGTGGTATAAATTAAATTGCAGGTGCATTTTTTCAAATACCTTTAGTTTTGCACACCTAATTAAAAAAAGAAATCCCACAAAACATTGCAATAGAAGTGACTGAAATTACGTGCTTTTGAAAAAAAATCAAATAACAGCTAAACAGGTAAGGTTTTTCTTGACCCAAATGCCCAAATGCCCATTTTTCCTAATGTCCAAGATTGGGAAAAAAATCCAATTCTACTCATGACTTGTTTCCCAGAATGCCTAAGTAACAGATCAGAAAAATAAATTACGGACCTTGTAATATTAGTCTGTCTTTTGCATTCTAAGGATTTTTCTTTTTTTAATTTAGACAATGTTGCATAGTTAAAGGACTTTGACTCTCACAGTTTTATTTTTTCAGCAAAAATCAGGTCTTTCCCTCCCAAACCAGATCTCTAGAGTGAACTCAGCCCTCCTGTGAAACAAAAGAAATAAGGAAGGGCAAAGGAAAACTCTGCAGTCTTGGTTTTGAATAAGAACCTGGTGATCCATGGGTGAAATAACTGCCAATAAATTCCCAGCCCTTAAAGGCAGCCACAAAAGCATTTTTGTACAAGCCTGACCAACCAACTGCTCCACTCCCTGTGTCTGGCAGCAGTCTGTAAACATGCGATTGTGCCCACAGTGCCATGGAACTTCCCTGGCTCATCCCCTTGTTTCTTGTGGGCTCTAATTAGGAAGTAATGACTTTGGCATAAAGCAGTTTCTAGGAATTAGAGCCTAGCCAGTAGAAGTTGATAGCCCATGTAGTAGTAACAGCAGCTGGCTCACAGAAACCATTTTATACTGAGATTCCCTAGCATTAAAAATGGAATTAAATGGTTTTAGATGTTTTTTGCTTCCATCCACATCATTAAGTTGGCCTGTGTGCTCAGCATTGCTGTTGATCACTGTTCCTGCAGAAAGAGTGCTACATTTTAAATATGAAATGTATTGTCAGCTGTTTTACCTCGAATGATTTACAGTTCCCTATTTGAACTGGAGATTAGTACAAGATAAAATTTCAGAGAAGGTATCCAGATGCAGTCAGAGGAGTTTCGTTTTCGCTTTTGGTTTGGGTTGGGTTTTGTTTTCTTTTTTTTCCCCCCCAAGACTAAGAACCCTGAAAACCTGTGAAGATACTGAAGTTTCTTCTAAGTAGTTCCCACTTTGTTCCACCAAGCATGAGGACATTTACCTCCTTTTCAGGTACACACAGACACCAACCAGGATGAACCTCTGCCAAAGCAGATGTTTACAGTGGAGTCAGAGCCAGAAGAACCTGGACTGCAGCCACCCCAGTGAGGTGAGACAACTCGCCCTAGGACAGGAAGCTGTCAGCCTTTGATTGCTCAGCTCTTGTTTGACAGACAACCCTTAAAATGAATTAAAATGTTTATCTTTCGAGTTATTTCTCTGATCCCAAGCTGAATATGGAAGGCTTTCATTTTCAGCATAGCTGTCAGGAGTCCCAGGAGTATTGTTCTAGGAAATACTTAGAAGTCACAGCTCTGCAGGACTACACTACTGTAACCTGTAGCTTGTGATATATTTGGCTGCATTGTTTCAGCACTTTTTACCTAGGTAGGCTCCTAAAAGAAAGTTTGATGACTGCACTTACAGTGGTCAATCCCAGATGCCAAAGAAGTTGACAACTGAAGTTAGCTGACCCAGAAACAGAGAAGAAACATTATTATAAAACTGAAGTTTTAACAGTTCTAACTATTTTAAGAATGTACATTCAGGAATATTTTGGAACTAAAAAAAAATATCCTTTTTTTAATTTGAAAAAATGCATAGAGGACAATCTTGTTCTTTCACATCTCATTTTCTGGAACAGCACTGTCAGTATTTAATACAGAGTGTGACCTACTGCTGCCGAACAAACAGATTTAGAGACTACCTTGTTCGAAGAGCCATGTTTGTTCTTGTACAGATAAAGCACCCCCATCTCCTTTCTTTTGCATCTCCCATGTACCACAAGGACTCTACACAGAAGACATGGAAAGTATAAATTATCTGGGCTTAGATCCCAGATCTGCAAATTACAGAGTTACTTCATCTTCTCTGTGAACATTTTTTTGCTCGTGGCATCATTTCCTGTACCTGCTATTGCAAAATAAAAATTGAAAAAGAATATCCAGAAAAGACCTGGTGCCTTGAATCTGCAGACAGCAGGAAAGTGTGATCATGTACTGTCTCACTTACCTTGTCAGGGTTTGTCAAAACATTTCTGGTCAGCCCTGCCTGCAGTGAGCCAAGGGAGGGGACAGTTTGGGGAGTAGATGACAACCAACCTTCCCTTTTTAGCTGACGCAAGACGCAGTGGTTTTCTCTTCCTCTCACACATGAGAGCAAAGGAAAGAGGTGACGTTGTGCTCGCTGCTGGCTCTGCCTCCCAGGCAACACTGCTGGGTTAACATCCTTTGCCTCATGGGACTTCAGAACACAGGAAACACAGGGACTGAGTGTGGATGCTTGGGATCTACAGCAGGGTTATGAAACCACGGCCAATACTGGAATGTTCTGATTCTGAGCTGGCTTGATAGGACAATGCCTAGTGAAAACTGCAAGTCAATGACAAGGACAGCCACCTTCCTTGTCCTGTTTGCTCCCAGAGAATCCCATTTCCCTGTCAAACCAGGACTATAGGAATAGATGGGGAAATAAAAAGTAAGGGCACTGAGGGGCTGAGTCTTTGTAAGTACGGCTATGATTTCCTAAAGGTGCCACAAATACAGCAGACTAAAAGTTATTTTTTGTTCCACAGCAGTCGAAAGAAGGGGAAATCCCTCTGTAACATTAATAAAGAACTGAAAATTCCACAATTCTTGAAGCTTTCTTCCCTGCTACAGTGTCTGCTCTGACATGACCAAAATTCCCCATCAACTTAAAGGGAACTTCCTGAGAAAAATGTAAGTAACCTCAAAATGAGGATATTTTGAGTGAAAAATTAGGAAGAAAATAGTAGGAGCTTGGGTAAAGTTGGTGTTGTCCATTTAAATTTTTTTACAGATCCAGACATTTTACAGTTTGTGTCCAGTTGTGGCAAATAGCAAGAAATTAGTACAGTGACAGCAGACAAAGAATACCCTGTATGGGTAACCGTGTCAAATGCATCAGAATTTCCTGTCAGGCACAATGTTCATTGCAAGAACAACTATTGATCATTTCTAGCCATGCCTACCTAACATATCCACACTTTCTTTCAAGGACTACATGGACAGTACTTTAAAGGTGAAACATTTGGTTAAAGTGTCACAGTTAATACTGGGATTCATCTGAGGAGGAGCCTACAGCTTCTTGTTACTCTTCAATCAATTGGACAGGCAGGAATTATGTTACTGTGGCAGGCCAACTGATGTGATAAGAAATAAACCAAATATTTATCTTGATTTTTAAATTTAATATCCATTCCTATGATTTTCCATAGATTTAGACTCTTAAAAGGGTGTCAGAGAAATACTCTCAAAGAAAATTCATTTGAAGTTAGTATTACAATTCAGCTTTTTTTCCTGTTTAGCCAATAAAACATTTATTGTTTCCAACATTATCTGTGAGCTACAAGATTGTCTAATAACACTGTGAATTTCCCTTTGTTATTTGCTGCAAATAAAGGAAATATATTGTTATTTTCCTAAAAGCAAGCGTTGAGCATTACAGCAAGAACAGCAGTTTCCAGGACAATAGCTTTGGTACGCACTTCTGTTGTGGCCAGTGGAGTGAAACTGAGCAAAAGCTCTCGCTGACATGCCTTCTGTCAGGCGAGATCCTGCCAGTACGAGCAGTGTTTCTTATGAACTGGGTCAGAAAGATGAATTACAGAGCATGCTCTGCATTTCCTCTGATGAGGAGCAAAGTGCAGCCCAGGCTGCTCACTGTTAGTAGACACAGCTGCCTGTGGATCTGCAGATCTGTGGCTTGGGAAGGCAAGACACTGGAATTGTACCAACAGCATTAGGCCATCTCAGATCCCTGATGTACAGAGATGTTGAGCTGTTTTTCTTCTCTGGTGTTTTCTTTCAGCATGGAGTACTCTACTCTCCCCATCCAGCTTCACAAAACAGAAGAGGTTTTTCATGCCTGGGAAAGACTTTTGTACCTCTTAAAACTCCATTTGCCTCAGTTTTGCTTTATTATGGCATTAAGTTTACTTTCCTTCACACAACACCATGTCCCTGGTAACTGGCTCCCTGTCCTTTGCCATGGATTCTTGCTGGTGCCTCCCTGCTTTCACCCACATTTTGCAGTCTGGATGTCGCTTGACCCCAGTAGCTTGGGCAGTGCTGCCATGAGACCCAGATTTCTGAGCTCAGGAGAGGTTATTAAGTTCCAGAGCGCTGCATCACCTTTGATGTTAGCATGTCTCATTAGACAGGCATTCCTCACCAACTGGAGGTGGATCTTCCCAAGGTCAGGAAAATTAACTGGGTGGAGAACATTTCTACCCTTGAGATTTCCATTTGTGTATGTGGACTTAGTTATGAAAAAATATACAGCACTAAGAATGCAGCTGTAGTAGAATCACTTCAATTCAAGTCTTTGCTCTTCTGAGCTCCCTCTGTCAAGATTATCCTATTCATTTTCATGTCTGATTTTACCCCTGGTTATTTGTTAAATTAGTTACATCTGAAAACAGCTTTTCAGATGTAAATACTGGTGAAACAATTAAAAGCTTTTAAGATATCCCTATTTTACCTTTGGGAAAATCATTTCACAAGCTTATAGAACAAGAAAACACAAGTTATTTACGGCATTACACTAAAAAGACTGATATTAAAATATATTAACTAATAAACAGAAAAAAACTATAGGTCATTAAAAAGTAATTAATGCCGGATTAAAAAAATAGTAATTAGATTTATTAGGCAGCATTCCTGATGAAGCTTCTTGAAAGAGGGTAGATTCCTGGGTTACCTAGAACTGGGAACAGCGTACTCACTCACACTTCTTTCAGATACCATACAGTTGTATGACCCCTTTGTTTGCATTAAGTCTAGAGTGTTCAATTCACTGTGACACCAGCTGAATTGTGAATTTAATTGGAGATGAGCACAAAATTGGAATTCTTACCTTTGTTCATGTCATATGCCATTTTTTTATCCAAATCTACCACCTTTTAAAATTTCTTATTGAAGTATTTTTCTACAACAGGTAATTTTTCTTCTGCTAAAACCTACAGTGATACCTTTGGTCGTTTTATTTAGACTTTTGCAAACCACTGTCATCAGCAGCTATTTCCTGCCTATCCATTACTAGTGCATAAATATCTTCCTCCCTAGATGCTTCTTGCCAGCTTTTGTACCTACAAAATGCTCTATTTTTTTCCTAAGGTGGCCATACAATATTGAAGTTCTTCATGATTTTCATATTCCATTATGTAAAACAACTGCTGAATTAAATGTACAGTGTGCAGTGGCTGAAAGGTCAAAGGATGGTTCAGCAAATTACTACATTTCCTTCTAATTTCAGGCTTATACTGAGATGTCAATTGGGTCTTTTAAAATCTATTATGAAGCAATTTAACACACTCCTTATTTTTAATGCTAAAATTAATAAGAAGTTACCTAAATTTACTGCTGAAACAGGGTGTCTGGGAGAGTGGTGGAATCCACATCCCTGGAGGGATTTAAGCCATGCAGATGTGGCACTTAAGCCAGAGGATATGGTTTAGTGGTGGCCTTGGCAGAGCTGGGGGAATGGTTGGACTCAAAGATCTTTTTCTATCTAAAGGAGTCTATGATTTGTTTGATTTTTTAAAATAACCTGGGTGAGATTAGAATTCTGATTTCTATATATATCAGTCTTGATTTCAGCACTTGAAAATTCTTGTGTGGGACAGAGAAGGTTTAATTCCTCTTAAGGTTATTACTTTTAAATATTAGTAACAGGTCAAAAATATATAAAGTATTAAAATATAATAGCTATATTTAATATACAGAGTAGAAGATTGTAGCCCTTTTCACACAGCAAATGCTCTACTAAAATAATGAATAGTTTGAAATTTATTTCTTCCTGCTATTATGATCTGTAGAATATTCTTGATCATAGAATTAGTCCACCTTAACAGTCTGCCTTAAAAGGATGAGATTATTCAGTTTATTCAAGCTGTATCTCTGCAAAAGGAAAACACCTTAACAAAGAATGGTTTGTTGCTGACCTGCAGCTGGTTACGGTATTTCATCTGAAAGCCTATTTAAGTCCTTAATGGTAACATTTATTCACTCTCCCTCAGAGAGGGAATTAATTATTTTACAAACAAAATTAATTAACGAATGAGGATGGCCAATTTTGTGCTATAGTTGAAGCGGACAGGCACCCAAAAGGGGTGTTGGCAGTAATAATAATCATTATCCCAAAGCACAGAGAGGTCTCCTGCCTCTGATGAGCTCCCTGTTAGAGCTGTAGCTCCCAGCCTGGGTGCCTGTGGAGCACAGAGAACAGAGCGGCTGGCAGGAAAGCAGAGGTGCTGCAGAGGGCTTCTGTACTAATAGTGGAAATAGCCCACGAGTAATCTCTGACTCAAATTATCCCACTCTGCTCTCTGGAGACTTCCCCCAGTTTATCCACACTTCCGTTAAAAAGATGACTGACATGCTTCCAGCTTGTGAGGCTTTTTTTTTAACATTTCAGAGCTGATCCTTTTGCACTGAGTGGAAATACACATTGCAAATGATTCATATTGACTTGACTTCATAGCTGCTCTGAGCTCAGATCTTCTGCCCTGTCTAGTTCTTTCTTTTACTGCTTCTGTCCTGATGCAGTAAAGTGGAAGCAGGGAACAGTGAAGTATTGGGAGTTCTGTAGCTCCCTTTGTACCAGCAACATGGACTGTGTTTAAGAAATTAGTCAGGCATTTAGGAACTGCTAATCCTTCTTGTGAAGAATACAAGGCTTGTTTCTTCCAAGGAATTCCTCACTCAAGAGCCCATGACACAGTTCAGTTTCACCTACTAAATATTCTTGCAGCAAGAAAAGAAAAAAAAAAAAAAGAAAAATAGGTGTTTAATGTAATTTTCTTCCCTTTCTGCTAATTTTTCTTGGGCTGTTTGGTGATGACATTGTCATGATCGATAAAATATCGATATGGCTGGTCTTTTAACTACTAATAAATTTTGCTTATTAATAATGACAACAAAGAGAACTCCAGCTGGTCAAGAAGCTTAACAGTATGCAAATTTAGAAATAATTTCAGTTCAATTATTATGGGCTTGAGAAATGGACACAAGCAGGAAGCTTCCTCTAAATTACCAAATAAATTCTTCCCATAGGTATCTTGGATTTCCCTGTCACTGTGGGTTATACATCATAACCTGTAACAGCAGGAAAGCTACAACATGACATGCAGGGACAGTTTATTTCCCCGCTTCTTTTACATACAAAAAAAGGTAATGGTTGCAAAAGAAATAAGAAAAACAATGAGACAGGTAAGTCAACTAAATCCCAAATATTCAAATAATGACCTTTCATCCCTACTATGATCCTGTTTTAAGTGGAAGTCAAAATTTTTGCAGTGGAGATTATATAACTAGATTTGCTTTATACCAGAATTACAGAATTGAAGCTTCTTTGCCTTATGTAACACTTATTTTAGCTTATTTTTAACCATGACTTGAAAGTCATTCTAGGAGCTCCTTAAGCTTTTTTTTTGTCAGTCTACTACAAAGGAAAATCGAGATGAAACTGCACCTCCTCTACATTGTGCTTAAACCAAGAGTGCCCCCGTGAGGATTTTTATATATATGTATATCTATGCATAGGAGTAGGCAGCTTGAGGGTGACTGTTCAACTACAAGGGAAATTAAACTTACTACTTTTTCCTCCAAATGAGGCCCAGAAAGTTGAAAACAGTATTTCTACAGATTTTTTTTATTAGGCTGATGTGGATCCAAAGAGGCCTTGTTCCTTCCAAACCTCTCTCTAATTTTGGCTAATCCTAAGACTACGTAATTGAAATGCCCACCTCCACAAAGCAATAAAAAAAGCTTACCAAATCTTAACAAAAATAACAGTGCTGGTTTGCAGTAAAGACCAACATAAAAAGGCTTTGATTCAAAGGATGAAAATGGGGAAAAGATCCTCAGAAATAATGGCAGGTAAGAAAGGTTTCAGAAATAAACAAGATTTATTATGATCTACCACATAATGAGCAGAAAATGCGAAAGTACGTTAAAACAAAAGTTCCCTGACATGGAAAAAGTATAAGAGGAACAGCATATGAGAAATTCTGAAAAAGTTGTGTATAAAAATCTCATAAGAGAACTGCTGATTTGAAAATCAAATACTTGCTTCTGTTTCAGGGTGTGCCCACATAGGGGAATGGAACAAATTAATTGTAGTGAGCTCAGTTACTGCTGATTGAAACGATCTGAATCCATAGGATGCAGCCAGTGACTGGCACGATATCACACAGCTGCTTCTGTACAAAGTAGGGGTTTGAAGGCGCAGTGAGCTGGTACTGCCTTTGATATTGATGCCTCAGAGCTGTACTTTAGTTTGCACTCCTCCTGGTGCTTTACCACACAGCCTGCCTCCTGAGCAGCCCAGGCAGCTTGCTCTGGGATCTTCTGTCACCCTTAGAGCCTTGATGTCCTTTGTGCTTACACGACTGGCATTAGACTCAAAGAGCCTTATGCAAGGGACTGGCTGAGCCCTGAGGAGCAGCAAATGCTGGAATGGGTCCTGATAACAAATCTCTCAGTCCTTTTATCTGCCAGCTCTTGACTCCTGTGCACACCCAAAGATGCAGACCTGCAATTGAGATGCTGGTGATTATCTTGTGGCTGTATGCCAGCAGCTTTACACTTCACTCATTGTGCACCTGGAAAAAAAAAATAACCCTTGCCCTATGTATCTCCAGTCACCTGCTCCTAACCAACTCAATCACCACTCAGCCTGTCAGGAACTGTCACCTTCTCTTTCCAAGCTCCCTGTCCTGACTTACTGTCAGAGCTCCTCACTCATGTGTTCTGTGGTGAATAGTGAAGGCCTGGCAGAAAAACCCACTTAATTAATTTGTACCTTTTTCTCAACAATTCCCTTATCTCATTCCTTCATGTTAGTTCAGCTTCAGAGTTTGCTACTCTGGAAGTACTTCTTTTTCCCATCCCTTATTCCCTCTGGCATCCTGGATTTACAAATGAAAACCCTACCACAGAAAGTGCTCACTCAGCTAAACACTTTGTGAAGGTCAGTTTGAATCACTCCTATTACAGATTAATACACAACACCACATGAGACCTTCTGGAGGCATTTTCCAAGTAAAAAGTATGGTGTTTCATCCCTACAAAAGCTTTCAGGACATATTTTTCTCATATAAAAGTATTCTGGCACAAAAATGCATACAAACAGCAAGGAGCCAGTAATATTAATACCAAACATGCTAAACTCTATTTATTTCAGCAAAAATCATGTTTATTTCTGCAGGGAATGTAAAATTGAATTTCAAGTACAGGAAGTGCTCTATTACTACTCTGGCACCACAATGCAGAGCTGCTTTCTTATTTGCTCTAAAATAATAAACTAAGCCTGTCCAGCCAAGCAAAGTGTCAGGAAGGAGCCTTTTGATCCCTAGCTCCAGAATGGATCTGGCTGGTCTCTTGTCAGCTTTCCCAATCAGCACTTTTCCTACTTTATCTCAGTGAACACATTACCAGCATTAAGACTCCCAGCAGAGTCTTAAATGCAATTTCCAACCTCCCCCTGACCCTTGTCCTCCATCCAACTTCCCTCATGGCCTAAAGTCCTGCCAGGATTTCTGCCAAGAGTGCAGAAGCATGGATTAGCTTCACCCCGTGAGCCTCAGAGCCCCGTTTGCCAGCCCACCGCGGGCATATGCAAACCAGCAGAACTCCATAAAACCTCACATAGAAACATCAGGGCAAACACTTCTGAACAGACACTGAGCTCTGAGGAGCCAGTACCAGCAACTGGCTAAGAAGACATCATAATCACCACCCCACCTCCAAAAACCCCAGCCCCAAGACAATAAAACTCCAAGAGCCCTAACCACCAACAAACAAGGGGTGATAATCCTGGTCTGCCAAGATCCCCGAAGCTCCTTCATATTGGGAATGGTGGTTTATCTCCAAGGCTGTCCAGTCAGCCTTTCTCCTCACAGGCTATTGAAAAAAAAACTTCATGGCTGACTTTTGAGCCCTTCAGCTGAAAGCATGGGGGGCTTTTACTCCTCTCCAGAAAGTAGAACTGGACAGAAAAATCCAGGGCAAAAAGCTTTGTGCAGTGGTAACTTCATACTGTTTTCCATTTTCAAACTAATTTGAAATCACAATTTTTTGTCGTACTCATTTTACCTCATTCCCAGTCTTAGTTTCCTACAAAATCGAACTAGCCTGCTTGTTCACACCTTTGTAAAGACTGGTGACAAGTTTCATACACTTGATATACTTAGCAAGGTTTTCAAGGTTAAAAAGCATGAGCAAGACATGCAGGGTGAAGTAAGTTCTCTGCAATGACAGCCCCCAGCTTTGAGCTCCACTGTGAGGTAATCCATGATTGAGTCACAAAATAACCCACAGTTACACACAGTGTCATTTGATAATAAAAATTTTATAAAAGTATCGTTGCCAAATATTTTTTTTTTTTTTTACATCATAACATTAAAGCACAAGTAAAAATCCCATAGTCCACAAATACAAACTACTTAATAAATAACTCATGGTGCTTTCATAAAAATCAACTATTAAAAGTTACAGAGCTTAATGAAAACCATGCATACACTGGAATCCTACAGTGTGTCCTCCAAGTAAGAACAGAAGCAGCCCTGCTTATGCTGCTATCATTTAGCCTCTTTATGAAGCTGTGAAAAGCTCCACTCTTCATCTCACAGCTCTGGTTTTTATGCCTTCCTGAGGTCACACCTACTGGTGTGGCAGCTGTATCCAGATACACAGAGAGACACAGCCCAGCAGCCCCTGGCCACGTCCAACACACCCCAGAGCTCTTCCTCTGTTCCAGACAGAGCCTCTGCTATGAGCCTGAGTAGATGGCACCCTAGAAAATAAAAAGGCAATGCCACAGCAAGAGGGAAGAAGCAGCACCACAGCAGCACCTCTATTCTCCCCACTGCTGGCTGCTGTGGCAAAACCCCTTATTGATCAGTGCCCCCCAAACCTGCAAGTTGCTTGAAGGCCAATTGCATCAATGAGGATAGTTAATGGGGTGGAGTGAGGGGTCTGGAATTCATGGGCTCTGCTCAGATCTCAGCACCCTGACACTCCTGTGCCATCTGAACACGGGGCTCCATCACACTGAGCTGGCACAACAAGCACATGAGCTGAGAGTGTGGAGTCCCTTCTGCACCTGGGAGCCAGGTAACACACCCTGGAACATGGGATAAACTGCTGCTCTCCAGTAGATGTACTCTGCTAACTTAATTTGTGTCATTCTTCCAATATCTCACTTGCTACAAGTCATATACATCTGAAATCCATGAAACAGGACTGATGAGGTTCTGTACAAAGCACTTCCATCTGTATCTCTATGGAAGTATTTCTTTCTTGTACATCCAATTGATTTCTCTGTTTCAGCAGTAGAAAGCACAGTTTCTGTGAGGCACTCCAGTGTATAATTTTCCTTGGGATTTTTCTTTGCCTTTTATAATCAACAATACAATGCAATTAGCCAATGTTCTTGGGGGCAACTGAAACATGTGGGTAATAAAACTCAGAAATGCAAACTCCAGTTCTTCCCCAGAGCCCCCAGAACCAGCATTTTGTCTGTAAATGCCGTCTTGAAAGCCAAGCCCTGAGGTAACACTAAATTACTCAAACCAAACTCACGTCTCAAATAAATTCTCTCTTGCACTGTGCAGTCGAGGAAACTCCAAGGCTGGGCAGCCTTCAGACCTCTTCAAGTCCCACTCTCCACATAGCCCAAGTAACACTAATCAGTAATCCTAATACTGAGGAGTCCTTTTTAAGGGAAGTTCTACAAAGAAATTAAAAATGCACAATTCTCACAGTGGTAAAAACTGAAGAGAAAGAGAAACGTGTTTGTGTGTTTTAGTCTTTCTACATAGCTTTCACGACTCTTGGCTGAAGGTGTTAGAAGCTGGACTTATATAGAAAGTCTCCTAAGCTCAGAAATAAAGATCTTTCCCCAAAATCAATACAAAACTGAAGGTTATATTTTTTCTTTTTTTACCTATTATTATCATGGATTTGTGGCAACCATGTTCCCTGACCTTTCTCCCACACTTATTCCACAATGAATAAAATGCCCATGCATCTTATTATAATGCCCAGGCAGTTTATTATTTTACTATTTCTAACCATCTCATACCCTTATTGATACCATTTCATCCTCCACACATGCCATCTTTCTGGTTCATTGAAACTCTCCACTTCCAAAGAAAGGTCACAGGGCTTTTTCTTTTTCCTTTTTTAACCTGCTCATGGCTGCAGAACTCCATGCCAGAAGAGATTAGAATAACAAAACTCACTGACTTCAGATCAAACCACAGGCTTCACCTTGCTGTAGTTCATCTTCCATCAATAACCACCAGCTGAAATTGGACAGAAAAATCTAAACTGTTACCAGGCTTTTTGGAATTCAAGAGGTGCAGACACCACAGAAAAAGCAATGGTAAAAGCACTGCAGCAATTACTAGAACACCAGGTCAATGTGTGTGGAGAAAATCCCTATGAAAAGTGTATATGGGAATGAATCCTATTGTTGCTAAATAAACAACAAAATTTGCTTCAGGAAAAGATATGAAATCAGGTGTATCGATAGACTTTCAGATAAATGTGTGAGTAAAATGTACATGGTTTGTGGCAAGTATATAAATGAAAAAAATATTAAAAATAGAAGAAATAATATTTTTGTAGTTCTAGTGTCTCTTTTTTTCACAAGCTATAAAGAGAATGCATTAGATGTTGGACACTTGAGATGCTTTTAAGATTAGATAATTTAGCTAAGAAGCATTATTGTAGAAAAGGCAATGGCATATGCTTATTATTGGATAATTACATTAGGAATGGCCTCTCAGGCAGAATGGATTCTGTGAAACAGCCTTACATTTGTATAAAACCTTCAAGTCACAAGAGAAAAGAACAGTTTTATAAAATGAAAGAAAATGACCTAAATAGGAAGATCTTTAGAAGTTCCAGCAGGAGCTCAATATCCCAGAGGGGAAGAAAACGAAGATAACTCACAATTCCTTACTTGACTTTAGGCACTTCTTCAGTGTGTCTGCATTGCTCAGAACCAATTTCTCTCCTAGTTTAGCTTTGACTAAAGTGCAGTGAAGTCCCTTAAGTATAACACACTTAATAAAAAATCTCCACAATAAATGAGCCTGAAGTGATTAGTGTTTTAATTTTCAACCTTTTATACAGAAATCACATTTAATTCTGTCTACTGGACTGAAAGAAAAGGCCTTTGCACCACAGGTTTTCAGAAGCTTGAGCTCGATGTTCTCTTTGAGGTCAGATTTATTAGAAAAAATCCCTCCCAAACTAAAATTTATAAAAACAAATTGGAAAAGTTGCATTAAGTTTACTAAGGTAAAAATATTTATAGCTGTTGCAGTAGTAAGACTATTACAAACTAGGTGGATGGGAGAATTAACGCCTAAACAAAAGAGTAAATAAAAATAATACTGTTTAACTGTTAATCTGATAATTGCACTTTTGCCAGTGTCCTTTAAATTGCTCAAAAGCTACAAAATTATCCACACTGAAGAAATTAGAAGTGATGTAAAAACCACCTCTGCCATTAGCTAAGAAGCTTATCTGCCTCCCTCTTTATTTATAAATAGATAAATAAATTTATAAATTCAGCAACAGATCAAAAATGGCATTCAGCAAAAAGAAGTCAGATAGTCTCAAGATTCTGGAATTTCAAACTTTATTATTGTGCTTGTGAGTGGAACCCACTGGATGTGAAGAGTTGGATACTGGCATAAAGAATTCAGTGGAACACAGAGACTGGAAAGGCTTGACAAAATTTGCCTGTCAGTGTGTGAGTGTATATATATATATATATATTTGTATGTATGTCAAAATGTCTGAAGTAGCAACTTGCTCAGAGCAGACAGAAAATCAAGCAATAAATGCTTTTTGTGACTCAGCTAAGGGAGCATTTCCTGCTCCATCTTTTGTATTGTTAACAACTAAACCACCAACTCCAGTGTTTCCCCTGACATCTATGGACAGAATATGATCACATCAGCGGTTTCCTGTGAGGTGATAAAATGGATTTGATTGCAGAGGACAGAATTTCCTCATACTCATTGCTGCAGCAATTTTTCTTGTAACTGTAATGAAATGCTTTAACTTTTTATGCAACAAATAGGAAGTGAATATCCTGCCATATTGCTGAAGCTCTCCGACCACAAAACCAGCTACAGAAATCGAAGCGCTGATGGTGAAAAAAGTGGCCTGCAAAAGGAAAATCTGAAGTTTTTCCAGTGCAGATTCTTATTTAAATGATGATCAGGTACTTCTCTGCAGTTCTGAGAGCATAGAATTGTTACCTTTGAGAAAAAACAGTGAGAAAATAAATTAGCCTTTACCCAGCACTGAAACTTTGTGCAGGTAAAATCTCATTAAGACTACAAGAGCTCTTGAACAAGACCAAGCCTGATCCTGATGCAATGAACTGGAACTGCCACTGTTTGTGCTCATTAAAATATTTCAAAAAGGATGAAGAGGTTCTTTTTGGGTTTGGTGGGGTTTTTGGGGTTTGTTTTTTGGGTTTTTGTTTTGTTTTTTTTTTACTTACCAGTGACATGTACCAGTAAGACAAGCAATCATCCAGTATGTTATGGGTAATAAACATAATTAACATATATAATGTTAAATACTTGTTAGACCGGATGTATATTGGAAACTGATTTACAAGTAAGCTCGCCAGGAGATGGGCCATGTCTGGAGAGATGCGGTGGGGGGGGACCCCTGGTGCTGATCATCGCCTGAATGACCCAAGATGGATATCATGGAAATCTCGGATTCAATAACTCCGGACACCAAATTGTTCTCCCACATCTCCAAAAGAGAAAATCTTATTAACATATGGACTCTGAATAGAAGAAAAGACCGACTGCAGAAATCTTGGCCTCAGGTGGAATTTTCCCTATGAAAACCGCTTGTGCCAGGATGGAAGTGTGTGGGCATAGGGGAAAAACCTATCCTGAGGCTGACCTCTTTGTTGCACACCCAGGGTCGATCCCTGGGCTTGGCACTGTGGTTTTTTTTTGTGGCTGGCTAGATAGAATTCGGCCGCAAATAAAACTATTTTTATTTTTTAATTTGGCTGAATAAATTTTCATTTATAACACGGTATTAGGAAGAACATACATTTAAACTTTGGGAAAAACTTTTCAGTGTGTCAGCAGTGTAAAAGATGAGGACAGTGAGAGAAATTACCTTAATTTTAGTGGAGAAAAGGAATATACCACAATCACCAGCCCTAAGAAATACCTAAATTATTAAGTGTTAATGTAACCCTTCTTACCCATTGCCTTGTAAATTATTTCCTAATTCTAAACTGTAGGGTTTTTGCAGGATTACTAAACTACAAGTTGTCCGTGTTCTTAGGAAGGCCTGATGAGCTATTAACATTAGAATGAGAGCACCACCTTCAACAACTGACAAGGAACATGTTATTGTTTGCTCCACAATGTCACCGCATTCTGCGCATAATAAAATAGGGGATAACAGGAATTTTCCATCATCTGGGATATTTTTAAAATAAAATTCAAATATGTAAGCCCAACCTGGACTGTACTGTGAAAGTGTGAGTGAGAGGCGCTAGAACAACTGGGGATCTCCGGAAGGCACAGGGCCAGTGCAAGGCGGCTTCTCAGGGCCGTGTCCCTCATATCCCGGCTATCCCCGGGCAGAGGGAAGCCTGCCTGAACCGCCTGTTCCCGTGCTCCACTTCCCTCAACACTGGCCACTAACAATCACCGTAAGCACTAATTTCTTTTCTTTCCATTGTTGTACAGGACCCGCGTGTCAGGCGGCCGCTGCCAGCCACCCTCCCTTTGCCGCCCCCCCCTACTCCCCGCCCGCTGCAGCCGCCAGCCGCGCTTCCCGCCGCGCCGCGCCGCGCTTCCCGGGAATGCCGTGAGGGCGGCTCCCGGCCCCAGGACCCACCCCGTGACGCCGGTTGCCATAGCGGCCGCGCCGCTGGCCATGGCGGCCGAAGAGGAGGACGACGTGGAGTGGGTGGTGGACACCATCGCCGGGTTCCTGCGGGGGCCCGCCTGGTCCATCCCCATCCTGGAGTTCATGGAGCACAACTGCGAGGGTGAGAGGGGCGCCAGGCGGGGCAGGGCGGGCGCCGCGGGCCCGCGGGCGGGGCCTGTCCCGGGCGAGAGGCGGCCCTGCGGCCCCGGGGCCGGGCGGGAGCGCCCTTGGCCGTCCGGCCGCGCTCCCTGCCGGTGCTCCCCGGGGCCCGCCGTGTCCCCCGGGCCAGCTGTGTGTCAGCAGGTGCCATTTGCATCCATTAGCTCGTCCTGGGATTATGGCGTGAGCTTACGGCTCATACCGAGTGAGCGCCGCACGCTGCGGCGCCTCGGACCCCGGCACGGCCTCCAAAGCTCTCCCAGAGCCGGGAGCTTTCCTTAGGAATTTGGTCTGGACAACCGAGAGCGCCATCCGGTCAGTGCAACAGAGGAAGAGAAGGCTCAAAGTTAAATTCCTGCAATTATGTGAATGTTGTCAATTAAGAGGTGAAAATCCCTGAATTTTAGTCAAAACTGTCAGTGATCACCGGCAACGTTTTGTAGGTGATCCTGTGGGTGAGTTTAGCTTGGAAGTAACTCCAGTTCAAACCTCCATTTCTTCCTTTGTCTTCGTGAGATAATCAGGGCATAATTTGGGGAGCAGCCTGGGTAAAGTGGAAGTACAGACAGTGAGGAGGGGCCAGGATTGCCCTGTGGCCAGGGGAGGCCTGTGCAGGTTTGTATCTGCAGAGGGGAAAGGAGGAAATAGACTCTCTGATGCAGAGATTTGGCTAAATTACTTCGGCTTACAGAACAACTTCTGCTGCCAAAAAACACCTGGATCCTTACAGTAGCAAAGTAATGACAATTTGGGTAGGTCTGAAAGCTGTGCCTAAGCCCTTCGGAAAAACAAAGGCAGCTTTTGTTTGTGATTCTTGGAAAAAGATTGCTTCTCAGTTTCTCCCTGAATCGTTTCCCCCCCCCCCCCCCCACCCCCAACTTTGCACGAGGCATGATTGTCATGAGTCCGTATGCCTTTCCCTCTTAAAACTGGGAAAAGAGAAAGGGAGAGCTCCTGGAGCCTTCACAGCTAGGAAGGGCTAGAGAAGCCTAGACTGGAAGCTTTGTCCTGGGAAGTCTGCCTAAACTTGGGGTGGACCTAACATTCTGGTTGTCTTGCAAAGGTTTAGCTATCAAGGGAATTGATTTATCCCTCTCAGGAGCAATGATCCCTTCTCCTTAGGAGGTTGAGGGGAATTTACTGACAGTAAGAAGATTTGTGGAATCGCTGTAAATTTCCACCAAGTGTGAGGCAGGCTCGTGATGGTCACTTCCTGCTGGGCTGATTCCAGTGCTGGTTTTGTACTGACATACTGTGTCAGGGCAGAGTCCTTTGCATTCCCAAAACATTTGATTTTGGGCTGGTCTAGCAAATTAGGAACATTCTGATTAACTGAACAATAATTTGTGACTTCTCAAAAATACAGTTCAGATTTTGGTAATCAGTATGTGAGGAATTCATTTTATAACTGTAGTTACCTCGGCCAAGTCCTTGCACTTCAACTTGTAAACTTATTGTAATGGTTTTATATCTGCTAGTAAGTGTTTGCTTCTCTCCCTCCCTCTTTCTGGGAACTTGAATAATTTCTTATCGCTTGATTAACTTGCTTTTACGTCAAACTGAAATTAAATAGACTGGTGTGTATTATTCCATCTGAGGGGTCCTAGCCAAGATTTTCAGTTTTAACAAGAAGATAATGAGTGTCTCCTTGGACATCTATGTCCCCTGTCTTGTCTTCATACTGTGGTTCTTTAGATTTTTATTCCTGGTGGGTGACCAAAGGCCGTGCCAAAACCTTAAGGAATAATGACTACGTGATTCAGAAGCCCTGACTCAAGGAAATCCGAGGTCTCTGTTCCAAGTAGTCCTTAAAGCCACTTAGCTGAGAGGAGATGCTGACTGCAGCTGGCTTTACTTGGCACTGAACTTCATCCCGTTGTGTCCCGAGCCCAGGGACAGAGTGTGCCAGCTTCACACTCTGCTCTGCAGGAGGAACATCACCTTGGCAGTGCCAGGCCGGCTGTCACCAAGGGGTGACATCCCTGTGCTTGGGATTCCCAGGGCAGGAAGGGTGGGGGGAAAAGGGACAGAGAAGCCAAAATGAAAGTTGGGATCTGCAGCAATTCCCAGCCAGGAGGAGACAACAGAGGCTGTCAAGTGTCTTCACTTGTCAAGTTTAGTAATATGGTGGTTGCATAGAACTGGTATCTATAATACCTTCCCTACCATTTGAATTTAATCCTCAATATTTGTAAGCCTTTTATTTTAATTTCGTCATTAAAAATTTTGCCTTGTGCAAAACCCACAAGCAATGTTGGTTTTCCAAAGTATGATTAAAAACCAGATTTTCCTCTGCTTTTGGGGGACCTGAAATGTGTAATTGGATTTCTGTTATTGCACTTCTGTGTTAGAAAGTGATGCTGCTTTAGGAAGTGCCACCTCAGATCACACTGTGTCCAGGTCTGGAGTGATGTGGCCTCAGGGCTGTTACAGCTGGGAAAGATGTTGGATGCCTTCAAAAAGTCACTCTGAATTTGTGAGAAGGTTGCACTGGTTCCACGGCATCACTACCATCAGAGATGTCACATGTACATGAAGAATAAATCACACTCGGTCACCAATTTAAGCAGAATTTCCATTCTTCAAATGACTTCAAAGAATGTTCCTGACAAGTGACTTGTCCAAGTGGCTAATATTGAAGGGGATTGAGGCAGACTTATTTCTAAGCCTTTGCTTTAATTGCCAGGTTTTACATTACTCTCTTAGCTGTTGGCATGAAAAAAATGTAAATTACCACCCCCCCATCCCTTAGTTTTCAGTTCCTCTTATTCTCAGCTTCTTCCAGATATTCTGCAGCATAGAGATCATGAGCTTGAGTAGTTCCAGTTACGGATTTTAATGTGAATTTACATGAATATGATTAATATGGACTTTAGTATAGGAATGTCCATTTTTCATAAATGACATAGATTTAATTAAAATATCACTTAATTGCACCACATTTCCTCTTTGGTTTATCTGGTTTTGCAGGCAGGGACTCATTTTCCTGTATCACCTTGGCGTCTCACTATGTGAATGACATTTAAAAAATGGTTTAAGTCATTAATAAATACATCTCCCATGTAAATACATGGAGAGTGAGAAATTTCCTGCCTGATCTGCCTTCCGGATCTGTCATCTGCCACCAAAGAACAACCTTACACAGAATCATAGGGGGTAGTTCTTATATTAAAACTTACCTTTTAGTGAATGTATCTCCTGAATCCTCAACTTGCTTACAAGTCTATTATGAAGATACATTTTCCCAATATTAAATTATGGAGCTTAATTACTTTCAGTTATCAAAAGCACACACTTAGCCTGAGTGTGTGGAGAAACACAGGACTTTTATAAATCATGGCTTATATTTTCATTGATTAAATATATTACCCTGTAAAGGTTAATCTTGCTGTTTAGGGTGTAAGTTAATTTGTGGTGGTTTGTACACTGACTGCAAAATGTTACTTCTTCCCCTTCCTCAGTTTTTGATGATGAAGAAGAAAGCAAGTTGTCTTACACAGAAATTTATCAGGAGTACCAAGCTCTGGTGAGCATTATTCACTATCTGTGGTAAATTTCTAAGCAAAAGAATTTAAAATGTTATTTAAATTAGTATTTATATGAACTTCTAATTGGGTTATTATTGTTATTTAGTATTTTTCCAAATGTTATTTAGAAATCCTGTGAGTTGTAGTTGTCATGTGTATTTGTATACCTAAAGACTAGGTACATAGAAAAGAAATTGTGACGCACTCATAGCTCTTAGGCCGTTTTATATATTCATCATTAAAATTAATATATCCACAACCTTCAAGATTGTATTTACAAGCTCGATAATGTTATTTTCTATCAGGTGAAAACGACAACCAGCAGGATGTCTGAGAACACTCACAGCTTGTATTTTGTTCACCAATGAGTCTGGGAAATCTTTTGAATTATCTTTCAATTATCAGAAAAAATGACAGGAAATTTTTGAAGCTTAAATACCTATCAAATAGTACTTGCAGATTTCTAACACTTTCTGTAATGAGGCTGGGAAATACATTATACTAAAAAGCTTTGATTGAATAAATACAAACCAACATTCATTTCTGCTCTGACCCTTAAGGCTTTCAGGCATAGACTAGCAAAAAGCCTTTTATTTTCATGAAAAAAACCATGAGGAATACTAGCAAGGAATCTGGGGAAAAGGTACACGAGTGAGAGTCCTGGAAATTGGAGAAGATATGTTAAGGAATCATCAAATTTAGCAATAAAAATGCTCATTTTGAACAGTGCATGAAAGCCAATAAAGCTTGAAACCAGAAAAGTCAGTTATGCTATTTAGTGATTTTCATTTGAGTTTATAAACCACATCAGCAGAAAAGAATAGACAATCAATTCCTCTGATTCTCAGGGAAAAACCTTAGAAGCTAAGGCTTATACTTTCTTACAGGTGGAGAGATTACTAGAGGACTACCTTAAAGAAGTTGGAATTAATGAGGAGAAATTTCAAGAAGCTTTTTCTTCTCCTCTTGCAAAGGCCCACACCTCCCAGGTATTTGCTTTCATTAAGGAATATATGGATTTCATTCTCAGCTTGATGTTTTCCCTAACACAGCTGGCAGGAGATGAAACTTGGAAAAGTTTTAATGGTGAAATTGTCATTTTCAATTGAACTGCAGCTGTAAACTTACACTGGGAAACCCAATTTTGTCATAATATTATAATATTGTCATAATGTTATTGCAGACATGTTGATCTAAAGACATAACCCTCCAAGTTATTTTCTTGACCATGAGCTCTTCTTGTATATCTGGAAAAACAGACAGATAGGAGAATGAAATATAATTATTAAAAACATGCTCCTCAGAATTGAAAAATCCAGCTAATTTCAAACAGACTGAGCTGGTTAGGATTTCTGTGGGGGTTTTATT